ACATTGTGGAGGAAAATCTCTAGGGAGATTCTGTGGGTGAGGGAGAAGGTTGACAGTAAGTGGGTAAGCAAGGTTTAGGACTAGAATGGTTGTCAAAACACTGTGTTGGTTGGTAAATAGCCACTGCTCTGAGCAATTCTGAGTGACTGCTGTGCTTTGACAGCTCCAGCCACTCTCTGCAAGATCAGCAACTAAAGGAAGGTATTGCCATTATGATTAGAGGACTCTAGGACTCTGCTGTTGCAATCTAGCTGGCCATCTTCCTGATTGGTTAGTGTATATGCTTTACTGGTTGTTAAATATTTGAAATATTCTTTCCCTGGATGAGTACCACAAAATAAGGAATGTTTAGGGGAAAGTCTGCAGACTTTAGGGTGCCCTAGGGCTCCCAGGAAGCTTGTTTCTTTATGTGATAATGGGGGAGTGAATTCTCTAGGATTATTTTCCTGATGGAAAATGCTGCATTTTTTTTTGTTTTTCTCTCTCTTTCTTTTTTTTTTTTTTTTTTTTGAGTCGGAGTCTCGCTCTATTGCCCAGACTGGAGTGCAGTGGCGTGATCTCGGCTCACTGCAAGCTCCGCCTCCCGGGTTCACGCCATTCTCCTGCCTCAGCCTCCCAAACAGGCGCCCGCCACCACACCCGGCTAATTTTTTTGTATTTGTAGTAGAAATGGGGTTTCACTGTGTTAGCCAGGATGGTCTCGATCTCCTGACCTCATGATCCACCTGCCTTGGCCTCCCAAAGTGCTAGGATTACAGGCATGAGCCACCGCGCCTGGCAAACTTTTCTCTTAATGAATAACTTACATAGTAAAATGCACACATCTGATGTGTATAGCTCATTAAAATTTTACATAAAAACTAACATATCCACCAGCAGATCAAGATACAGATTTGCATCTTCCTAGCAGACTCCCTCATGCCTTCTCTTTGTCAGTTACCCGCCAAGTAACCACAATTCTGACATTTATCATTATAAATTAATTTTGTCTCTTTTAAAACTTCATGTTAGTAGGAACACAGTGTACACTCTTGACGTCTGGCTTCTTTTGCTCAACATTAAAAACATACTTCTTTTGGGATTTATTTGACTATTTTTCCAATTTGTTAAGTTGGATTCTTAGCTCATTAATTTTCAAATTTCCTTCTTTTTTTCCTATTTTTTACAACTTTAAAAAATTGTGTCAAAATATATGTAACATGAAATTTGTAACTTTAACCATTTTTTAAAGTTTATAATTGGTGGCCTTAATTATATTTATAGTATTATGCCATCGTTATCACTATTTCAAAATTTTTCATCATCCCCCCAAAAAACCTCTGTATCCATTAATCACTAACTCCTCATTTCTTCCTTCTCCCAGTCCCTAATAATCTCTAATTTACTTTCTGTCTCAACAAGTTTGCCTATTCTAGATATTTCATATAATGGAGTTATACAGTATATGTCCTTTTGCGTTTGATTTCTTTCACTTAGGATGTTTTCAGGGTTCATCCATGTTATAACCTATCAAAATTTCATTCTTTTTATGAATAATTTTCCATGTATGTATATACCACACTTTGTTTATTAATTCATCTGTTGATGGACACTTGAGTTCTCATCACGTTTTGGCTATTGTGAAAATGCTGCCATAAACATTGACGTACAAATATCTGAGTTCCTGTTGTTAATTCTTTTAGGTATATACCTAAGAGTGGAATTGATGTGTCATATGGTAAACCTATGCTTAGCTTTTTGAGGACTGCCAAACTGTTTTCCACAGCAAATGCACCATTTTATATTCCCACCAGCAATGCATGAGGGTTCTAATTTCTCCACATCCTCACCAACACTTATTTTCTATTCATTTGGTTTTATTATTATAACCATCCTAATTGGTGTGAAGTAGTATCTCATTGTGGTTTTGATTTGCATTCCCTTGATGACTAATGATATTGAACATCTTTTAATGTGATTTTTGGCCATTTGTATATCTTCTTTAGGGAAATATCTATTCAAATATTTTGTCTATTTTTCAATTGGGTTGTCTTTTTGTCATTGAGTGGTGGGAGTTTTTAAATATATTATAGATATTAAACTCTTCTCAGGTATATGATGTGCAAACATTTTCTCCTGTGGGTTATCTTTTTCACTCTCTTGATCATGTTTTTCGATATACAGAAGTTTTTTATTTTAATGAAGTCCAATGTATCTATTTTTTCTTTTGTTGCTTCGGCTTTTGTTATCATTTTAAGAAACCATTGCCAAATTCAGAATTGTGCAGATTTGCCCCTATGTTTTCTTCTGAGAAGTTTGTAGTTTTAGCTCTTAAATTTAGGTCTCTAAGCTGTTTTGAGTTGATTTTTGTATACAGTATAAGGAGAGGGCCCAACTTCATTATTTTGCATGTAGGTAGGATTTCTCCAAGACTAAGGGTAGGGATCTTGTCCTTCTTGTTCCTAGTACTGTGCCTGACACACATTATGTACTTATTCAACAACTATTGATTTGTTATATACCATACTAGGCACTGGAGATGCAATGGAGAAGAAAACAGACTTGATCATCGTCACCTTGGTACTTTGTTGCTAGTGTTTGCTGAATAAATAAATAAGAAACCATCTATTTTCATGACATCTGCATCATCACAAGTTGATAATTGCTCCATATGGTAATTTTGACTCCATACATTCCATACCATAATTGTAGTCATTACTTAGAGAATCTCAGTCTCTCTCTGTTTCTCAACTCAAAGGTGAAATGTATTAAATACAGTAATCAAGTGAGTATATGTTATTTAAGAATGAGGTTGGTGATGTTCCAGGTGTTTATTTCTAGACTTTTTGCCAGGTAAGGTGGCCATTTCATTCCCAAAAGTATTACTCACATATAATTTTATTTGAATAACAAAACAAGCATTTGAATAACAAAAACAAGCATTTGAATAACAAAAACAATAGAACTTAGCAAACATGGTAAAACTCCATCTCTACTAAAAATACAAAAATTAGCCTGGCATGCTGGTGCGTGTCTGTAATCCTAGCTACTTGGGAAGCTGAGGCAGGAGGATTGCTTGAACCCAGGAGGCGAAGGTTGCAGTGAGCTGAGATCGCACCACTGCACACCAGTCTGGGCAACAGAGTGAGACTCCGTCTCAAAAAAGAAAAGAAAACAAAACAAAACAAAGCAAAAAAATATAACTTTAAGGTGAGAAATTGGAAAGCAGTACTGAATTGGTAGAAACGCTAGGCATCTGGACAAATTATTTATTTGTTTATTTAAGAGTGAGAATTTGCCAACATATTATTTTGCTAAATATTTTTAAAAGGATTACTGAAGCTGTAGAAAATATATAGAAAGCCATCTTAGGAAACTCTACCTCTTGCTTGCTGATATATAAATTGTAGTCAGTTTTTTCTTCTTTTTGTCACAACCTTTGGAGATTCCGGTAAAATGCCTCCTTCAGAATATTTCTGGGCATCCTTTATTTGTTTATTTATTTTTTGGTTACATGAATAAGTTCTTTAGTGACAATTTCTGAGATTTTGGTGCACCCATCACCTGAGCAGTGTACACTGCACCCAATGCATAGTCTTTTATCTCTCATCCCTGTCTCTATCCTTCCCCCCAAGTTCCCAAAGTCCATTTTATCATTCTTATGCCTTTGCATCCTCATAGCTTAGCTCCTACTTATGAGTAAGAATGTACAATGCCTGGTTTTCCATTCCTTAGTTACTTCAGTTAGAATAATGGTCTCCAGTTCCATCCAGGTTGCTACCGATGCCATTATTTCATTCCTTTTTATGGCTGAGTGTTATATATACCATCGTATATATACACATACCACAATTTCTTTATCCACTCATTGATTGATGGGCATTTGGGCTAGTTCCATATTTTTGCAACTGCAAATTGTGCTGCTATAAATATGGCGTGCAAGTATCTTTTTTGTATAATGCCTTCTCTTCCTCTAGGTAGATACCCAGTAGTGGGACTGCTGAATCAAATGGTAGATCCACTTTTAGTTCTTTAAGGAATCTCCACACTGTTTTCCATAGTGGTTGTACTAGTTTATGTTCCTACCAGCAGTGTAAAAGTGTTCTCTTTTCACCACATCCACACTGACATCTATTGTTTTTTTATTTTTTGATTATGGCCAGTTTTGCTGGAGTAAGGTGGTATTACATTGTTTTGATTTGCATTTCCCTTATAATTAGTGATGTCTAGTCTTTTTTCATATGTTTGTTGGCCATTTTTATATCTTCTTTTGAGAATTGTCTATTCATGTCCTTAGCCCACTTGTTGATGGAATTGCTTGTTTTTTTCTTACTGGCTTGTTTGAGTTCCTTGTAGATTCTGAGTATTAGTCCTTTGTTGGACATATAGACTGCAAAGATTTTTCCCACTATGTGGGCCGTTTACTCTGCTGATTATTGCTTTTGCTGTGCAGAAGCTTTTTAGTTTAATCAAACATTGTTCAGACAAATTGTTACAAATCATTCCTGCAGGACTCCATTCAGCCTAGATAACCATACCTTTGGTCCAGTTCTCACAGAATTTCTACAGAAATCCTACCTCCTCAAAGTAATAAAAAGTTGGCATTAGCAATCAGACTAATATCAAAGATAATAAAAATAACAATTGGGCTACTTATAATGATTACCTACATAACTTTCTCCATTAACTCACAACAGCTCTGTGAAGTAGGCAGGACAAATATTACCACCCCCAGTTCACAGCTGGAATAATAGTACTGTGCATAATAATAATTCTTGAGGGATTCTTAAATGCTGGCACTGTGTTAATTTCTTTATATTCATCGAATATCCCCAATAATCCTATAGGTAGATACTATTATTTTCCCGATTTTCAGGCTAGGTAATTAATGAAGCTTAAAAATATAAGTAGCCTGCCCCCAGGAGTGCGTAATTGTTAAGTAGCGGAACCAATGCTTATATTTAAATCAGAAACACTCAGAAGTAGCATGAGAATTTAGTAAAACCAAAACACACCCTCATGCAATCCGTACTATGTGGCCACGTGCCTACCAGGGTCAGCTGGATGGTACTTGTCTGCTAGAAGTGAGTCGAGACAGAAGAATCAACACGAGCTGGAAGGGCCTCTGGAAATCAGCTGGGGACTAGAGACAGGTGTGCAGCCCTCGGTTTACAAAGGCTATGAGACCAAGAGTTCCAAGACCTCCAGGAAAACATCTCCCTGCTAAAAGGCTTTCCCAACCTTTAGAAATCTATTCCTTTCCCTCCCTTTCCATCCTCTTTCTCTTGCTATCTCTTTATCGCTCCTCCTGCCTTCTTCCTTTCTTTCCTTCAGTAAACTTTTTTTGAAACGATGATGAGCAAAGGCCTGATCCAGTCTATGGCGCGTTTCGGTGGGAAGATGAATACGCCTTCCCAGCAGAGTAAAATGTGATTACACCAAGGACTGGTTCCCTCTCCCTTTCCCTGGCCAGGTCAGCGTCCCCCGGCGTCGGAGAAGGGGTTGGACCGCTCAGCGGGGCGTCAGAGTTGCCAGGCGCCCGGGGCAAATACTGGCAGCCGGTGGCTGTGAGGTGTCCTAGCGACGGGGCGGCGGCAGGACACACACACCGCCCAAGCCCGGACGGTGGCCGGAGCTAAAGCCACCATGGGGGACCGCAGGCGGCTGCTCCAGCCGGGGACGTTGGCCCGGGTGCGCGAGGACGTGAACTGCAGGTTCGGGTAAACGCTCAGTTCCCGGGCCGAGGGCGCATCCCACGCGGGCCGCGCGGGGGCGCCTGGAGACCCGCGCTTGCGGGGGCGGGGGAAGAGGTCCTGCCTGCCTTCCCTCCTCAATGCTTCCTGTACGTGCAACACAATATGCTGAGATAACCAGCGCTCGGTGCTGCTCTTCGCAAAGGATTTTTCCTCCTGTCATCCTCCCAACCCCCGCCTCTCGCGCCCCCAGGGATGTAGACTAATATCTCCATTTCTGATAGGAAAGTGATGGCCGCAGGGTCCGCTGCGGAGACTGGTTTAGCCCAGGACTCTGAGCCCTCCTGCTAACCACCCACCCTTCTCCGGCCTAGCCAACCAACTGTTCATCAGATGCCCCGGGGCGCCTAGAGTCCTGTATCTGGTGTTAGGCATCTGTTGCCCCCGGAGCCTTTGACTTCCAGATGGCGGCTGTGACCAAGCGGAGCCCAGGGTTGAGGGAGCGCCTGGGGTACTAGGGAGGTCTGCTAACACTTTCTACGGTTGTGGTAGCCTCACAGCAGGAACAAGAATGTTTTTGCCTTTGCCGACTCCTTGAGAATCTTTTGAGAATGGAATTCGTCTCTTTTGGAGACAGCACGATGTGGTGGTGAAGATTCCAAAGTCTAGAATCAGAAAGGCTTGAGTTGAAGGCTGGTTCTCCTCTTGTTTGGAGACGTAGGCAACTTAGGCAAGTTGGTTGCTCCTTCTGGGCTCACTTTCCTAACTATAAAATGGGGCAATAACTTGGGAATCAGCTTTCTAAGATTGTTGTGAGGATTAATGGAGATAGCACATGTAAACTTGTCACTGGCATGTAGAATGTATTGTGTACATGTTAGCAATTATTCATAGTTGTTTCTAGCAGTTATTCATAAGAGCTTCTTTGGGAAGCTTCTCCCTCCATTTAAAAACTTTGTTTTGAAATAACTGTAGACTCACAAGAAGTTGCAGAAATAGTACAGAGTTCCCATGTACCCTTCCCCTAGCTGCGTACAGTGGTACCATTTTACATAATGATAGCACATTGCCAAACCAGGAAACGTCATTGGCAGAATATGCTAATTGAACTATAGACCTTACTTGGATTTTATCAGCTCTTGCACTCAGGTGTGTGTGTATACAGTTCTGTAACATTTGGTCATATGTATACATCAAGATACAAACTGTTTCATCCCCACAAAGGAATGCTTAGTACTACCCCTTTACTGTCACTTCCTTTCCCACCCCAGCCTTGGCGATCACTAAACTGCTCTCCATTTCTGTAAGTTAGTTCTTTTGAGAATGTTAGATAAATAGAATAATACGGTATGTAACTTTTTGAGACTGGCTCTTTTTCACTCATCATAAAGCCCCTGAGATCCATCCAAGTTGTGTGTATCAATAGTTCATTTTCGTTGCTGGGTAGTGTTCCTTGGTGTGGATGTAACACAGTTTGTTTATCCATTCACTTGTTGAAGGATATTCAGGTTGTTTTGGACGTTACAGTTTTTGGGCTATTATGTAGAAAGCTGCTATCGACATTTGTATACAGAATTTTCTAAGAACATATGTTTTCATTTCTTTAGGATACATGTCCAGTATCCTTTTGCAATTCTTAAAGAGGGAAGTATCCACATATCATGTACTAGCGTCTGTGAAAACAGTAAATATTTAGAAAAATTGTTTTCAATTTTATTTTATGGGCCAAGCAAGATTTTTCCTGAACCTAACATAATGCAGAGTGGTAAGCTTATTAACTATGAGAGGCCGTGTGGGGGAGAGGAAAGCCCTCCCTCTACACTTGTTGCCTCACTCTCCTCTTGGAACTTAGTTTCCTTATTGAAAAGAAGAAAGTGGTAGCCAGGTATGGTGGCACATGCCTGAGTCCCAGCTACTCAAGAGGCTGAGGTGGGAGGATCACTTGAGTCTGAGAGGCAGAGGTTGCAGTAAGCCAAGATCACACCATTGCACTCCAGCCTGGGCAACAGCGGAAACCTGTCTCAAAAAAAAAAAAAAAGGAAAGAAATGAGGAAAGTGGCTCATGCCTGTAATCCCAACACTTTAGGAAGTGGAGGCAGGAGGATCGCTTGAGCCCGAAGTTTGAGACCAGCCTGGGCAACATAGTAAGACCCTGTCTCCTCTCTCTACAAAAACAATTTAAAAATTTAGCTGGGCATGGTGGCACACACCTGTAGTCCCAACTATTTGGGGGACTGAGATTGGAGGATCCCTTGAGTCCAGGAGTTTGAGGCTGCAGTGAGCTATTGAGTTATAATTGCTACTGCATGCTAGCCTGAGCAACAGAGTGAGACCCTGTCTTGAAACAAAACAAAACAAAACAACAACAACAAAAAAAACAGAAAGAAAAAGACGAGTGAAGAAAGTAGACTGGATTTCTCTCAGGATCTCTGCCAGTTCTAACATTTTATGAGGTTGCAGCTCACTGCCACATACATTCCCCATTTTGAGTTGTATGGCTGTACTTAAACAAAAATATTTGTTCTCAGATTTGATTTCGTGAAGTGCTTGGGTGCGTGAGTTAGCTGTAAATATGCATAAAATGAACTTTGTAAAGACATTTAATATAGAGAGTTACTTACTAATAAGTAATGCTGAATGGGTCATCAATCTTATGATTAGATGTAATTTCAACATCTTTCTGCCGTTTAGCTATTTAAGAGTGATTTGTTAAATGCAGAGAGTAACTTTTTGTTAAGTTCATCTTTTTGTGTCCTTTCATCTAGATTTTCACAGTAGAGTTGGGTTAAGCCCTTAAAACAACACATACACATCTATGCAGCAAGTAAGAAGTTTCTAGGACTCACTAGAAAAGAATTGGGGTCAGGCTGAAATCTCTTAAAAACACTTTGTAGCAATGGGTGTATCAAGGATTAGATTTGGTGTATAAAGACATTATAGATGAAAGGGATCTGAAGGTGGAAGAGGCTTTAGGGAAGGACACTGAGATTCTAGAAATATCTGACTAAGGCATTGCAGTATGTGGGGATAATGAGATGCTCAGATTCCAAGTTGTGACTTTGGTGTTCACTGGTTGTGTTAGGTTATTTGGGAGCTGGTTCTATTTTCCTTCCTGTTTGCCCATCTGTCTCTTCCATCTCATCTCTGTGCCCTAACTACTCAATGCTAGCAGGGGGCTAGTGGATAAGGAGGCTGAGTGAAGCAGCTATATGTATGGTGGTAGGGAGAGGTGGAGGTTGTGAATGAGAGAGCAGGTGGTTTGTCTCAAGTGGGCAACTGATATACCAATTGTGGCTCCTTGGAAAAGTGGACCTATTATTCACAGATCTTGAAAAATCTGGCTTTTCAAGACCAGCTGTTTTTCCTGATTATTTACGTGAACATTTTTATTTATCAGAAACTCTAGTAGAGTGATTAAGCACCTTTTTCTGGAGCTGCACTACCTGGGTTGAACTCCCAGCTCTACCATTTATTAGCTGTGTGACTTTCGACAAGTGTTTATTTTGCTTTTTAACTTCTTTGTGCTCAATTTTCTTATCTGTAAATGGGAATAATACTCATGCCTAATTCATAGGGTTGTTATGAGATTTAAATATGCTGGTATGTGTAAAGCACTTAGAACAGTGTCTGTTATATTGAAAATTCTCAATTTATGTTTGCTATTATGATTTTTATTAAAACATAAGGAGGACCAAATGACAGGTTTGTTGGCCCGATGTAGCCCATGGACAGCCATTTTGCAACCTTTGATCCCCTAAGTTTAGGGGGAACCCACAGAGGTTATATGAAGAGCCAAGGCCGTTCAGCTAGTTAGGAGCTGAGTTGTCAGTGGGATCCGGGTTCTTCCCACCCCACTGCACTCTGTCCCTTTTAGTGAAGGGAGAGCGTCCTTGGGAAAGGCAGCAACTTGAGTGTCCTTCACAAAGTGAATGGAGAGAAGAAGTGTGGTGGCAGCAGTTGGAATAATGAATTAGATTTATATAGAGTGACATGGAAGGGTCTTTAAAATATAGTGCTTGGTAAACAAGAAACAGAATAGTGCCATTTACATAAATTAATAGTGCATGCACACAAAAGGATGCTTCAGAATTTCAAGAAAGTGTACAAACAAAGGATATATTCCAAATCCACTAGAACAGTTTTGCTTTTGCAAGGGAGACCAGTGAGACTGCACTGTGGGGATAAAATAGACAAGAAAGCAGGAGAGGGGTCTTGTACAGAGCAGTGATTCTGTGCTATGAACTAGGAATATGATTAACTCCAGCTTCTCTAGTGAATCCCTCTTCCCCTACCCCCCACCCCAAAAGCTGGAGACCAGCCTTTTTACTACCTCCTTCTCCCACCCAAGTCCTGTGGTTAATATGAACAGGCACGTCGTATTCTAGGTACAAAGAGAATCTATCTACCTTCCAGATGTTTCACAAAGCACAAGAATGCGCTGAAGTTCCCCACTTCCCTGAACAGCCGGCAGCTGGTATTTCTAAGAAAGAGGCTGGATGACTTCAGGAAGGGCAGCCCGTCTTGCACTGGTCTGGTGACTCAGGTCCCTGTGGAGGGCTTTCTGCCCCAGATTTATCACAGAGCTCCCCAACTGGCCCCAAAGAAGAGACAGATCAAACTGCCCAAGGAAGCAGACCTGCTTTCCAAGCTCTCGCCAGTCCAGCAGGCTCAGAAGGCATTCCTGGAGGACCTGGAGGCCCACCTGACCCCACATCCCTTGGCGCTCTACCCGAATCTGGAAGAAGCTATGCCTGTCGAGGTGATGTGTCCTAGGGTTTGTGGGAGGGGCTTCACTGGGGCCTTGCAAATAATTCTATTTAAATGTCTAGGGAGTCCCCATGAGAGGGTGACATATATTTATAAGAGGAGCAATGAATGTCTCCCCCAGGGCACGAGTTCTTGTGGGCCTCAGAGCAGCCTTCTGTCCTCTGCTCCCAGAAAACACAACCAGCAGCAACATGCACACTGCTCTCTTTGCTTCCTATGAAGCCCTTCAACTTACAAAGATGCCACAAACCAAAACGTCTGACTTCTGTTCCCCATAATTTCTACCCATCTACTGTACTTTGCGTTGTGACTTTTTGGGGGGAGGAAACAGTGAGAGGGAATTGTCTAGTCTTATTTTTGTCACTTTAGCCTGGTATTAGGAGGTGCCCTTAGGTACTTACTAACAGGTGGAAAGAATGAGACCGGAAAGGTCGTGGGGAAAATCCACCTAATGGTCCAGACTAGGGCTGGACAGCAGCAGCTCTGTGATGTCACCAATGTCCCAGGCCTCTCCTGACTTTTAGCTCTGTATCCTTAGTATGCATCTCTTGTCTTTGTATCTCAAAGTAGCTTCCATGCTTCCAGGCATCGAGTCTGTATTTCAGACAAGAAGAGGGAAGGGACAAAGGTTAAAGGGTGCATGCCGGCTGACTCTTTTAATTAGGCAAATAATAGCTTTCCCAGTAAACATCTCTTTCATCTGACTACTCCTAGTTGCTAGGGAGTCTAGCAAATGGAGTTTCAGAGTTGGGCATTGAAACTGAGGAAAACCCAGTTTCTATTGGGTTTAAAGAAAAAAGGTAGAATGGATATTGGGCAGGGAGCTAGCAGTGACTGCAACTCCATCCCCATCCCTGCAGCCTGTATTCTACACAGAGAGGACGATGGTTCAGAAAGGCAAATCTGCTCAGGGCCCTCCAGTGTCCCCTTCTCTCTCAGAGAAAGCCAGAGTTCTTGTCGGGGTCTGAAAGGCCTTGGCATTCTGCTCTCCACAGTACCCCTGTTCTGCTCCCCCTCCAACTTCACCCCTGCTCCTGCCACTCCAACCACTCTGGCCTCCCTGGCTGCTCCATGGACAGTATGAGCATGTTCAATTCAGCTCTCTGTTCTGGTGCCTGGAACACTTGCTCCAGATGGCTGCTTGGCTTACTCCTTCACTCCCTTTAGATCGATGCTCAAATGTCTCCTAATTGGAGAGGCCTGTATAAAATAGCACTTCCCTTCTACCCTCACACTCTACTCCTTACCGTGCCCTACTTTTCACTGTAGCACTTGCCACCACTGAGCTCCTCCTACAATGAAAGCTTATAAGGGCAGGGACTTTATTTGTGTCTTTCACTGTGTACCACCAATACCTATCCTATGGCAATAAATAATTTTGAATGAATGAATAAATAAATGATCAGTGGCAAAGAAGTCTACAGAAAGGACAGCTAGAATAGCTGATCAGTTAATTTCTCTCTGGGGCTTTCCTTCACTGCCTCCTGCAGGCCAGAGCTTCTGAGTCCATGACAAAGAGATTATTTCCACATCTCAGATGGCACATGGGCATGGCTTGGGATTGTGGTGCTTATTTCCATGTGTGACCTCCCCAAGTACATGTGTTGGCTTCCTGCTGAAGCAGGATCTCTTATGGTGCTAAGGTGGCCATCAGAAAATCCTGGTTTAAGCCCTACCCACTTAGCAACCCCAGCAGAAAGAGAACACACCTTTTTACGTGATCCCAGAAAAATTCGATAGCCTAATTTTCATGGATCCAACTTCAATCATGTGTCTATTCCAAAGTCAGTCACTGTGGTTCTGATTGTTCTGCGTTAGGAGTGAGGTTGGGGTCGGGCTAATACGGGTTGAGAACAGAGAGGTGGTTCTCCAAGGAAAAATCCAGATATTCATGAGAGGGAAAGTAGATAGTGGGCAGTCAAAAACTACAGAAATCCTTTAGAAGTGCTTCACTTAGTGGGGCGTTTGGGGACTGGGGTAGGCCCAGAGACAAATTCTATTCTAGAGGAAGTAGAACTTTAGTAAAAAGCTGTATACCCAGTGTCTAGGTGATGGGAGGTTTATCCAAGTGGTGCTGATTATAATCCCAAAAGACATAGTCCCCAGTCTCATAATCGTGAATGTTGAGATCTCCAAAGTCTAAAATCCCACAAATCACAATCCTGAAAGATTAAATTCCTGAATGTTGAAATCCTGAAAGCCAAATTCTGGGGAAGGGATTAGTGTGTTTTTGGTTGTATGCTGGATAGTTGCATCGTGGTAGGTGGACCTATTACCTTGCTATTGTCTTTATTTGGAAATTAAATATGGTTTAAGGAGATGAGTATGAGTGCCAACCTGACAAGAGGTGGACTTGTGGACTTAATTTTAGATGTCAGTTTGACTGGATTAAGGAATTCCCAGAAACATGGTAAAGTGTTATTTTGGATGTGTCTGTGAGGATGTCTCCAGAGGAGATTAGTATGTGAGTCTGAGTGGAGCAGGTCAGGAAGATCTGCCCTCAGTGTTTCAGTGCTTCAAAGATCATAGAGTAAGTGAAAATGCAGGTGAAAAATACAAGAGATCTCCTCTGCCAAATTATTCGATTGTGTATAATTTATGCCCCTTCACATATAACACCATCCTTGCCTTCAAGCATGTGACACCCTTTGTCAGAGAATTAAAAGAATTTGACAAGCTCAGCAACCTTCTGAACCAGACATTTGCTGATATTGAGATTCCTCCAGTGTTATAACCACCTAAAATGGTGAACTATTCTTGGTTAAAGATTTGACTGTCAAGAAAGATAGACTTCTTATATTTACCACTAAATCTAACATAGAAAAACTAGTGCATGTTTCACTTTGGCTATTGGATGGCACTTTCAAGACTGTCCCCACTTTTTAAAATCAGTGATATACAATTCATGCCCCTGTTGGATCTGGAAATTCTAAAACTTATCTGCTTCTTTATATATTAATGACTGGAAACAAATGAAGTATTTTATAATCACTTATTTGGAGATTTGGTGGACTGTGCAGAAGAAAATGGATTTCTTTGAACTCCCAAACCAAAATGACAGGTTTGGAATTAAGTGTAATCAAAGTTTCTAAAAGTGAACCTGAAAGAGTTATCAATAAAGTTTTTTTTTTTTTCATGTAGTCCAACACATGTGGCAGAAATTCAGATGAATGGATTGGCCATGTGATTAGTCAATGGCAGAAACTTGAGTTTAAAAATGAATCATTTCATGATCCTACACCCAGAAGACCTTAAAGATTCATCCAAAAGACTTCTAGACTTGATAAATGACTTCAGTAAAGTTTCAGGATACAAAATTAATGTTAAAAAATCAGTTGTGTCTCTATACATTATCAATACTGAAGCTGAGAAACAAGAACTCAATATCATTTACAATTGCCACAAAAAACTAAAATACCTAGGAATACATTTAACGAAGGAAGTGAAAGACCTCCACAAGGGGAACTACAAAACACTGATGAAAGAAATCATAAATGATGCTAACAAATAGAAAAACATTCCATGTTCATGTAAAGGAAGAATCAATGTGTTAAAATGACCATACTATCCAAAGCAATCTACAGATTCACTGCCATTCCTATAAAATTACCAACATAATTTTTCAAATAATTAGAAAAAAAATTCTAAAATTCATACAGAATCAAAAAAGTGTCTGAGTAGCCAAAGTAATCCTAAGCAAAAAGAACAAAGCTGGAGTCATCATGTTACCCAACTTCAAACTATACTGCAAGGCTACAGTAATCAAAACAGCATAATATGGATACAAAAACATGCCCATAGATTAATGGAACAGAATAGAGAACCCAGAAGTAAAGCCACACACCTACAACCAGCTGATCTTTGACAAACTTGAGAAAAACAAACAATGGAAAAAGGACACCCTATTCAATAAATGGTGCTGGGAAAACTGGCTAGCTATATGCAGAAGAGTGAAACTGTGTCCCCATGTCTCACCATATACAAAAATTAACTCAAGATGGACTAAAGACTTAAATGTAAGACCTGAAGCTATACAAATTCTAGAAGAAAACCTACAAAAAACTCTTCCGGACATTGACTGAGGCAAAGAATTTACGACTAAGACCTCAAAAACAAATGCAACAAAAACAAAAATAGACAAATGAAAATTAAGCTAAAGAACTTTGCACTGCAAAAGAAACTATCAACACAGTAAACAGACAGCCTGCTGAATGGGAGAAAATATTTGTAAACTATACATGTGACAGAGGACTAATGTCTAGAATTTATAAGGAACTTAATTCAACAAGAAAAAACAATTCCATTAAAAAATAGGCAAAGCTGGGAAGTCTCCCCAGGAGGTTTAAGGCTACGGTGATTGCACCATTGCACTTCAGCCTGGGTGACAGAGTGTGAGACCCTGTCTCAAAAAAAAAAAAAAAAAAATATATATATATATATATATATATTCACACAAAGGACATGAACAGCCACTTCTGAAAAGAAGACATACAAGCAGCCAACAAACATATGAAGAAGTGCTCAACATCACTCATCATCAGAGAAAAGCCGATTAAAACCACAATGAGATACCATCTCATATCAGTCAGAATAGCTATTATTGAAATAAAATAACAGATATTGGCAAGGATGCAGAGAAAAGAGGATGCTTATACACTGTTGATGGGAATGTAAGTTAGCTCAACCTCTGTGGAAAACAAGATGGAAATTTCTCAAGGAGCTAAAAATAGAACTACCATTCAACCCAGCATTTCCACTACTGGGTATCTACCCAAAGGAAAAGAAATTGTTTTATCAAAAAGACACCTTCACTCATACGTTTATCGCAACACTATTACAATAGCAAAGTCATGAAATCAACCTAAGTGTCCATCAATGATGGATTGGGTAAAGATAATGTGGTATGTATACACCACAGAATACTATGCAGCCATAAAAAGAATGAAATCATGTCTATTGTAGCAACATGGATGGAACTGGAGGCCATTATCCGAAGTGAAATAACTCAGAATCAGAAAATCAAATACCATGTGTTCTCACTTATAAGTGGGAGCTTAACAATGGGTATACATGGTCATAAAGATGGAGAGAATAGACACTGGGGCCTCCAAAAAGGGGGGTTGGGAAGGTGTTGAGGATTAAAAAACTACCTATGGGGTACTATGTTCACTATTTGGGTGACGGGTTCACTAGAAATTCAAACCCCAGTATTACACAACATACTCATGTAACATACCTGCACATGTACCCCCTGAATCTATAATAAAAAATTAAAAGATAAAATAAAAAGGTTTTTTTAAAGGAAAAAAATAAACATGAAAAAAGTGTCATTTGTTTGCATTAGCATTCCTTACAGCTGCTGAAATTCCAGGAGCGTTTAATAAAGCTGCATCTGCCCGAAGAGATTGTGATTTTACTGACTAGTTCAAAAATAATTATAGGATACATAAGATAAGATGTTGTTGCTATTGAATCACCAGTATTGTTTCTGCCAACTTTGGTGTCTGTATATGAGCACGTGTGGAGTGGATTTCCCTATACCCAGAACAACATAGAAGTATGGCACAGAAAAGGGGAAAATGTAATAGGGAATACTCATATGAGTATATATTGAATCACAGAATAATTTTAAAAAGAGCAGTGCATGTAGAAAATGAATATGAACGTATTCTCCAAGGAGAGCCCTAAAAGAAAAAAAGCAACTATTTACTATGATGCAAGACTTCAAAGTATAGTTAACGATCATAAATGCCTGCCAGTTCTTACGAACTACCTCTGTGTAATTGCCCATAATCTATCTCATACATGTTTTTAACATGTTGAATTTCCTTCTTAGCTTTTTTTTAGTGCCCCCCACACTATTTTAAATTGTAAGTGTTATTTTTTACAATTCACTATGTTATGTGTTTCATCTTTGCATCAATTTTAATGCTGGAGATATAGATTGTGTAAAAACTTTTATAGAGTTCTAATTCATTTAATGCATTTTTTGCAAATTTGACTTCATGAAAATGCATTGTCACAACACTGACTTTGTGTGTAAGCATTGTGGATTTACATAACAACATTGAAACTTCATGAATGAATGATGTCCTTTTTGTTCATCTGTATTTGTGAAAGATAATATTTCTTGATATCTTGGTTCTTTGGGTAACTGCGCATAGAGTGGTGTCCCACAATGGTTGTTTTTTGCTTGCTTTTTTGAGACAGGTTCTCATTCTGTTGCCCAAGCCGGAGTGCAGTGGTGCAATTATAGTTCACTCTTACCTCAAACTCCTGAGCTCAAGGGATCCTCTTACCTTAGCCTCTAAGTATCTAGGATTATAGGAGTGTATCATCACGCCTGGCTAATTTAAATTTTTTTAAAAATAGAGACAGGGGTCTTGCTGTGTTGCCCAGGCTGGTCTCAAGCTCCTGGCCTCATGCCATCTTCCTGCGTCAGCTTCCCAGAGCACTGAGATTATATGCCTTAGCCACTGTGCCTGGCCCCATCATGCTTTTTGATTGATTTTGTCAAAAGGCTTAGGTTGTACATTGCTGTATTTCAGATGACTGAAATTATAAAGCAGAGTGCACACAATTGCCAAACATAGTGATATGCATTTATACATACCACTTTTGGAGCTATTTCTTTATGAATATGGTTTCCCTGCTCGTATTATACCCATGTGACTTTTGCTACTGTATCTGACTGTTTATGCTTGCAAAAATATGTATATTGTTTTTGCCCAATTCATTGTGTAAAATGGCTGAAGTGTTCTCTCATTTTTACATTTCTTTTTTTTTTTTTTTTTCTTTGAGACGGAGTCTCACTCTGTCGCCCAGACTGGAGTGCAGTGGCCGGATCTCAGCTCACTGCAAGCTCCGCCTCCCGGGTTCACGCCATTCTCCTGCCTCAGCCTCCCGAGTAGCTGGGACTACAGGCGCCCGCCGCCTCGCCTGGCTAGTTTTTTTGTATTTTTTAGTAGAGACGGGGTTTCACCGGGTTAGCCAGGATGGTCTCGATCTCCTGACCTCGTGATCCGCCTGTCTCGGCCTCCCAAAGTGCTGGGATTACAGGCTTGAGCCACCGCGCCCGGCTCATTTTTACATTTCTCAAATAAATCTCCATTTAAAAATTTAAGTGCCTTTAAAATAATTTTTTTTACAATTTTTTTTTCAGAATTATAGTTTTGGGATTTTAATTTTTGGGATTGCGATTTTGAGGATTTTAGACTTAAGTGATTATGATCTTTCAGGATTTTAGCATTTGAGATTATGTCTTTTGCAATATGGTCCAAATCTATCCATAGCACCCAGCATAATACTTGGCATGGAAGTTGGTGAACAGTACTGATGGATTGAAAAGGAAAAGTGAAGGGCAAGTGTGTCTGTTTTGTTGTACAATGGGGACTCCCTTCTTCAGCACATTTTTCTTTTCCTCTAAGACTATTTTCTGTTTGTAGCTCTTATTAAAGGTGCTGGAAGTGCTCGATCCTGACCAGAAGCTGGAGGACACATGGGCTTATTGTCAGGACACCAGGAAAGGAATGAAAGAACCCACAAAGCTTTTTAAAAAAGGTTCTACCCAAGTCTACCTGGGACCGTGAGTATTGTTCTTAACCCTTTGATCATTGCTGTCACCTGATTCTAGGAATTACCTTCTTAAAGTTTCTCATATTTAGAATAATTCTAATGAAGCAAATGTAACTAAGTTCCCAAGGAAGAGGGAAAGGAGTCCTAGGTACCACTCTAAATAGTGCTTATTTCTTCAGTGGATGTGATTTATCCAGCAACAATGCAGACACAGGTGTCTATAAGGAAATTCCAGAGAGTCCCTCCCTATGCTTGAGGGGTAGAAACAGTGAAAGTCAGAAAATCCTTGATTTTGAGGCAGCTTCTACAGCTTTCCAATTTCCTTTAATTCAAAAGTGTTCAGCATACCAAAGCACCATAGTTTTGGGGTTTCATCCTTTGTAACCCAAGAAATGTTACGGCTGGAGGGCAGTGAAGAGATTACAACTCACTGCAGCCTTGAGTTCTGGACTCAAATGATCCTCCTGCCTCAGCCTCCTGAACATCTAGGACTTCAGGTATGTACCACTATGCCTGACCTAAACCTTTTTTCTGAGTATAGGTCTACTGCTTGGAGTTTCCACCCATCTTTTTTTCTTAAACTATACCTGTAATACTACCTTCATTGACCCTTCTTAAAGCATTAAGCTTAACGAAAGCCATCTCCCTTTTGTAACACATTCTTGATTTCCCAGTCAATATAATATTTAATTAAATAACATAAATGCAGTGATAAGCATACTGGACACAAATAGATTTGGGATACACATGTTTTTTTGTTTGTTTTTGAGACAGAGTTTTGCTCTGTCGCCCAGGCTGGAGAGCAGTGGCACCATCTTGGCTCACTGCAACCTCTACCTCTTGGGTTCCAGCGATTCTTATGCCTCACCCTCCCAAGTAACTGGGACTATAGGTGCCCACCACCACACCTGGCTAATCTTTCTGTTTTTGGTAGAGACGAGGTTTCGTCATGTTGGCCAGTCTAGTCTTGAACTCCTGGCCTCAAGTGATCTGCCCACCTCTGCCTTCCAAAGTGTGGAGATTACAGGCGTGAGCCACTGGGTCAGGCCTACATTTGACTTTTGAAATTAAAGACCTCACTGATGGGTGCTGAAGAGTATGGTGAACTAGAGAGCAGCCTATCCATAGTACCCAGACACTTAGAGGGGTGTGGACCGTGGTCAGTGTGTTTTGTGGGGGCCATGTAGAGCTTTGTTGGTCACACACATTACCTACATGGAGGTGGATTTAGAGAGAATCCACTGCATTACATTATATATGTTTTTTAGGGGAAGACACAAGGTGAGAGGAATTCTACTCTTAGGACATTTCTGGCTCTTCAGTCCACCACCTGGTAAAAGTAGGAAGGGTAACTGGATGTGCTTCTCTCAGTTTTGCCTTTCTTCCATGAGGAGCAAGATGGCCCATGGGAAGCACAATTTCTCCTTGCTTCCCCATTCTAGAGGGGAGGACTGTCCTGGTCCAGCCCTGCAGGGGACTGGGTGGAAGTCTCTGCCAGTTTCTGGGTGTCAGTTAGCAAGTCCTCTTGGACCTAAAGCCATGTCGTCTATCATGGCTGCTGTTAGCAGTGAAGGGGATATTTTGGCTATTGTCTTTGCTCTCCGTATTGTTTTTCAGGTTGCTCAGAACTTGGGTGGGGGAGCGAGAGGAATGTTGTATGTAGGGATCTGTGATATAATAAATATACTTGGTCTTTATCCCCAGTTACTGACACAGGGCTCCTAAAACCATTGGGATTTCCTGAGTGACAGGAATGCTTTTTGTTATTCATAAGGAGCCCCTTTTAGTCACTGGAGAGTTTATGCTAATGAGGTGCTCAGGTTGGGGCCCCTAGATTGTCTTAGAATGTGGCTGGTCACCAGAAAGACCAAGTGATTAGAGGGTTAGAATGTTCAGTCCCACTCAGTGTGACCTCTCAGAGGGGACAGAGGGAAGCATGGCTGGAGATTAAAAATTCTTGAACATATATTTGATGAAACTCCAGGTTGATGAACACATCCAGGTGCTGGCAGGATACAAGTGACACCAACTCCCCCTTACCAGATAATCTCTCCTTTCCTTTAGAGCAAAATTTTTTGAAAGAGGCATTCATACTCACTCAGTCTTTTTCTCTCCGAACAGCAATCAGGCTCTTATCTCTACCACTCCACTGAACCTGACCTTAGCCAAGGTCACCATTGACTTCTGTGTTACTTAATCGGCTCTCAGGGATCACCATACTTGATGTATACATAGTAGCAATTGACGTAATTGATTATGTCCTCTTTCTCCTAACACTTTCTTTACTTGGCTTCTGGAACATCCCTCTTTCATGGACCTCTCCGTAGTCATCTATTACTGGCTACTCTTTACTTTTTAGCCTTGAAGTACTTTGGTCTTTGATGTCTTTTCAGCACATTTACTCACAACCAAGTGACCTCCTCTGGTCCATCTGTATATGGTTAATTCAATATTTGTCCTTGGATATATAATTGGAATCTCAGACTAGACAAACCCAAAACTGAACTCTTTTTTTCTCCCCTAAACTTATTCCTACTTCTGTCTTCCCCAGTTCAGTAAATAGGAACCCCATCTTTCCAGTTTTTTCTGGAACAATAGTTGCAATCTGCCAGCAAATGGTAATGGTTTTACTTTTGAAATGTATCCAGAATCTCACCTTCTCCACTACTACCAGTCTATTCCAAGATTCCATCACCTCTTGCCTGGATTATTGCAATAGCTTACTAACTGGTCTGGTGACCTCCACTCAAACCCCCCTCTCTCAAGTCTGTTTGTCACACAGTAGCTGACATAATTCTTTTAAAAATGTAAGTCAAGTCATGTCATTCCAGTGCTTGAGATTCTCCAATTGCTTATTTTTCTGAGAAAAATCCAAAGTCCTTACAACTGCCTTCAAAGTACTATATGATTAGGTCCCTGTCACCTCTCAAGCCTCATCCTCTGCTATTCTACTCTTTAATTACTCCTCTCCGTGGGACTTTGTATTCTTCAAACATGCTCAGCATGCTCCCAGCTCAGGTCTTTGCACATGCCATTCTTTTCTGTCTGTTATCTGCATGACATTTACATGGTTTGACCCCTTTCTTCTTTTGGGTCTTTGGTCAAATATTACTTTAATAGAGACAATTTTTCTGTATAAATAAAATGCTCCCTACCATCACTCTCCGTCCCTCCTGTCCTATTTTGCTTTGTCTATATCACTTATAATCACCTGGCATATGTTTGTTTACTATCTATCTGTCTCTCCTATTCAATTGTATACTCTATGAGGACAGGGGCTTAACTTTATTTACATTTCAATTCTAATGCCTGGCACATAGTTGGTGCTTACTGAATATTTGTTGAATTAATGGATGGATAAATTAATATGAGTGTTATGAATAAAAGGTACAGGGGCTATGAATAAAAAGTAGGCTCAGGGGACAGCCTGTGGGGATGCCTCCCTGAGGAAGGCACATGTATGTTGACACATGAAGGGGATAAGGAAATGGTGACAGCACTGCAGTCAGGTGGAACAGCTCAAGCAAAGGCCTAATGGCTGGAGGGAGCAGCATGAATTCACAGAACTGAGAGAAGGCCATATTGGCTGGAGCTCAGAGAGTAAAAAAGGGTGGTGGGTCCCAAAGAACCTGGAGAGCTAGGCCATGCAGAGTGTTAGAGGTTGTGTTAAGATTTAAGTCTTTATTGGAGGAACAGCAAGAGGCTGTTGAACACAAAAGCTTGTTCATGAATGTCCATAGCAGCATTGTCCTTAGCAGGCATAAAGTGGCAACAGCCCAAATGTCCATCACCTGCATATGTTTGTGAACGGATAAACAAAAAGTGGTCTATGTAGACAATGGAATATTGGCCACAAAAAGAAATAAACTACTAATACATGCTACAACATGGATGAGCCTTGAAAGCATGATGCTAATTGAGAGAAGCCAGACACAAAAGACTACATGTTGCATGGTTCCATTCAGATGAAATATCCAGTATAGACAAATCTACAGAGACAGAAAGGTAGGTTAGTTGTTGCCAGGAAGGAACAAGGGAAGTGGGGAAATGGTGAGTGATTATTAATGGCTACGGGGTTTCTTTCAGGGCAATAAAAATGTTCTGGAATAAGATAGTGGTGGTGGTTGCACAACTTTGTGAATATAAAAGGGTACTCTCAAACACTTTTGAAGTGGTACATTTTATGAATTTCATGGTGGATGAATTATATTTCCATTTTTATAAAGAAGCTATTGATGGTGATGAAGGGTGGCTGATTTGATATGTCCAGAGTTACATTTTGAAATGACTGCTTGGGCTGCAGTGTAGGGAATGGATTGGGGGTTGAAGGTTGGGGGAGCCATAGGAGTTGATGATGCAGAGACACTAGCATTTTGCAGCAGTCCAGAGGGAAGGAGACAGTTACAATCTGCCAGACTTTAACTGAGCTGGATTTTAGGAATGATAGAGAAGTCAAGGATGACTCCTACTTGTCAAGGTTGCCTGAGGCTTTGGTAGACTTCAAGCACAGTAATCTGGGCTTTTACCCAGTACATGTTTTAATAAATGGTACTCAAAATTTAAAAAATCAACTTATAATGGTAAAATGCTATATTAGTTTTAATTATTGTAACTAATCATGATATACTTGTCTTTATGATATTGGTAATGAGAATGTGCTCTTTGAAAAATTAAAATATAATTTGTATGTGAGCTTGCAAGAGACTGTCAGAAATACTTGCTTTGGCCGGGTGCAGTGGCTCACGCCTGTAATCCCAGCACTTTGGGAGGCCAAGGTGGGCGGATCACGAGGTCAGGAGATCGAGACCATCCTGGCTAACAAGGTGAAACCCCATCTCTACTAAAAATACAGAAAATTAGCCAGGCGTGGTAGTGGGCGCCTGTGGTCTCAGCTACTTGGGAGGCTGAGGCAGGAGAATGGTGTGAACCTGGGAGGCGGAACTTGCAGTGAGCTGCCACTGCACTCAAGCCTGGGGGCCACTCCACTGCAGCCACTGCACTCCAGCCTGGGTGACAGAACAAGACTCCGTCTCAAAAACAAAAAACAAAAACAAAACAAAACAAAACAACCAAATACTTGCTTTATGATTTCCTTTTGCCTCCAAAACTGTTTGAAATCCATTTGGATTCATTGTGTCTCATATTGTAATTCTTTAATGATCTTATTATCTTTAGTTCCAAGAAGACTTCTGTGTCAAATGCAAGCCAATGGCTTTATGAAGAAAAGCCACATAAAATGGATTTGCTCCATGAAAACGGTCCTCGTCCTGGTCTTCACGAAAATGTTCACAGAGCAGTTAATGACTTCTGCAACTGGGTTACTACTTTTGTAAGTTAGTGGTAATACTTAAACCTATTTTTAAATGTCAAGCTCAAAGTTGCTTTTATTAAAAAACAGTATTGGATAAAATCTAAGTCAAATCCTCAAAATCATAAAGGAATCATTTTCTTCTATTATATATAAATAGAAATATTTCTGGTAGATGAAATTTCTGGAAAGTTTGCAAACTTGTGGCTAGTTTGAATGTTTATGTTTACATCTCACATCATTGCAGTTGTTTCATATTTTTTATTTTCCATTTTAATGTCAGGACTTTCTTTTCTCTCTTTCACTCCTTCAACCCATTTTTCTCAGTTAGATTTATCTAGAATTACTCTGGCAGGTACTTGTTGATTATAACCTTCACACAAAAATGTTCTAACATGCCAGGCACGGTGGCTCATGCCTGTAATCCCAGCACTTTTGGAGACTGAGGCAGATGGATCGCTTGAGCTCAGGAGTTTAATACAAGCCTGGGCAATATGGCAAAACCTTGTCTCTCTTGTATTTTTGTAAAACATATAAAAGTTAGGCCGGGTGCAGTGGCTCACACCTGTAATCCTAGCACTTTGGGAGTCCAAGGTGGGTGGATCATGAGGTCAGGAGTTCAAGATCAGCCTGACCAACATGGTGAAACCCCGTCTCTACTAAAAATATAAAAAAATTAGCTGGGTGTGGTGGCGTGCACCTGTAATCCCAACTACTCAGGAGGTTGAGGCAGGAGAATTGTTTGAACCTGGAGACAGAGGTTGCAGTGAGCAGAGATTGTGCCACTGCACTCCAGCCTGGGCAACAGGGTAAGACTCCGTCTTAAAAAAATAAAAATAAATAAATAAATAAATAAAAATTAGCTAGACATGGTGGTGTGCCCCTCCCACGCAGGAGGCTGAGGTGGGAGGATTGCTAGAGCCTGGGAAATCGAGGCTGCAGTGAGCTGTCATCATGCCACTGTACTCCAGCATGGGCAACAAAGCAAGACCCTGTCTCAAAAAAAAAAAAAAAATCTGACATAAAGAGACTTTTGACTCAGTTATCAAGGTCTTCCCTTGTGCTTCTTCCAAGACCTATGTAGTTACCTATTCCTGTTCCTGAGTTTCTGTAGATGTCTAAATACCTGATGCTTTTCTTGGATTTAAGGTCTTTAGGATTTGCATTCCATGCCCCCACCCCATCTTTTGAGTGTTAGTTTTAGTCAATGTATTTTTTTAGTACTTTTAAACATCAAGCTACTTACTTCATTGGCAAGTGACTGAAATATAATTCAGATTGGTTTAAGAGAGAAAAGGGAAGCATCCAGATATTGTAGGAACTTCAGGCACAGCTTGATCCAGGTGCTAAAATATTTTTAGATGTTCCTATCTTGGTTGTTGCAAGATGGACTTCTTTCTCAATCAATATTTCCCCAAGAAATGGCAAAAGTAGTCACTAAAATTTCCAAGCTTATATCCTACAAGCGAGCAACCTAAGTGTGAAGACAGCAATGCTTTTCCATTAGGGAATCACTGGACTAACTTGGGGCACATGCTTGTGCTTGAACTAACCATTATGATTAAGGAGATGGAATATGCTTATTGGCTAGGCCAGGACGCACACCTAACCCTGAAGCCAAGAGTGGGGGTGTCCAGCCCAACTGCAACAGAGTGAGAGTGAGGGACAGAGACTCCTCAGATGGTGACTGGAGCGGGGATGCTGGACGAAGCAGACGACGCCCAGTATGCATGGTATCCAAATCACTGCTTGTCCATCATCTGTTCAGAGTGGATTGCCTGATTTCCAGAGTCCACTTCTCCTATTCCTGCTGCTGGAGGCGATTCCTGTCTCAAGGCAGGAAACTTACGGAATCTTAGAATAAGAGCTTAGCTTCTCTGGTAACTGCCTTTAGTTTCAGACCCTGTGACCAAGCTCCCATCTTTACTGACATCCCACAAGCTAGGTCCCTGTCTCATCACCCTGCGGGCTTTTCTTCACAGCACTGGCTTGTGCTTTTCCTTCCATGCTGTTTGTTTGTTTTTCACCTCATTGATTCTGCTTGCTTTATTTCTGCTTCATTATTACTTTAGCTTCCTTTTGCCTGTACTTGTCCCTTTATGTCCCTGACTCTGTTTCATGACTCCTCTCTATAAATTTTACTCCAGTCACAGTGCCAGCTGCTGGTAACTTCGTTCTCTGTGTTTTCCAGTTTCTATTTTCCAGTGTGAGATTCTATTGAGTCTCAGATCTTTTAGCCTTGAGCCATATCATAAGTAAACACTCAGCATACAGATCAGCCGCTCTTAATGTGCCCATCTCTACTCCCACCAGCTGTAGCTGAGGGAAGGAAACGGTGAAGGTTGTTCTGTGTACAGAATGCGGCTGACTGAAACCACCTCCTTCAGGAGGAGCTGTGAACCTGGCAGCTTCCCTTCTACAGAGTTATGGGCAGAGAAAACACTGCCATATCTACACAAGTCTGGAAAATACTTCTAGAGATGCCACCACTATAAAGTGCTGAAGAACTTTGCTATCGATCAAACTGAATTTCCCTCAGGCTCATGATTTCCCTCAGGGGCTCACTGCTTCTTGCAAAGTCCTAAGCTGTCTTTTAATGACAAAGCCCTCCCAATCCCAGACACTTCTTGTCTTCAGTGAATGCTGACTGAGCATTTTCCACCTCTCCCCAAACTACCTCCTTCCCCAGCAATGACCAACTACCTCCCTTAGATTAAAGAAGAAAGCAAGGAGCATTTCACCGATTGCCCTCAATTCATGCAATGTGATATTCTTCCAGGGAATTTCAGACATTGATGAAGAGTTCATCTTGAAACAGTTTGACATTGACTATGAGACCAAACCAAGCCATGATGCGCTCCACACGATGAAGCCAAATCAGGTTGCTCTGGAGCTAAAGCGTAGTGTGGGGCTCAGTAAACTGCAGGAGCCAAAGTTCTTCCAGAAACCAGGCTATGAGAGGAAACTCCAGAAACCACAGGTAATTGCAGAAGGGGACCAGACCGAAAATCAAAGAAAATTAAGTTGTATTGAAGTCTTAAAGTTCTTGAATTCTGGTGTGTCATGGGTACTGGTTTTTTAAAGTAGAATTCTTGAATTTTTTTCATGATTATATTTGTTAAACAAATGCATGTTTAATACCTATAATAAAGTCAGTTATACAAATGAGGCATATCATTTGGGATTATTTTTAATACCTGAATAGTCATTTTCAGAGATAATTTGTTAGGTGTTTTATATGTTGAAATACTAAAAGTCAGTAGAAATATACATGAATGGTTATTATTGCAAGAGCAAAATGCTGCAATTAATTATTGTGAATGCTGTTAATATTATGTCCAAAGAATTCTTGAATTTTTGCTGGAGTCTTATTGACCACAAACCATCATTCTTGACCACATGCTTGCCTAATGATTAACAGGTTTCCTCAGCACCAAGTTTCTGTAAAGATGGAAGAACAAGGTAACAGAAAGGGGAAATAACATGCCATGTTCCAAAGGGAAGTACTATCGGCCCCTAAACTACTATTTACTTTTCTACACAGTGTGTCACTGCAAATATATATACACAAGTCAAGTTATGTGAGTCAACAACAGATTTAAGTGCCTAAGTTGGAGGGGAGAGCCCTTCCCTGAAAGTGAAAAACAATATTTTATCTCTAATTGTCTTCTGCCTTTTACACATAAACTTTGATATTATACTTCCAATATTTGGGACATATTAATTTTGTCCTTTACAGTTGAACACATTTGCCAACCTATTTTGACACACATTATGTTTCTATCCTTGACTCCATTGCATAGTTTATGAAAACTATGCATTTCATCATGAATATCAGCACTTTTATTTTTCCATTTTCCTTTCATCTTTCTAAAAGGTAAAATGCAAAATGGTATTAGACAGGTAAGTTATGTCCATCACACCTGAGGCCTGAACCACTGCTTGTCCTGATTCTGGGCTGAATAAAATTGCTCAATTCCCTGTATGTAGAAATAATTATGCAAACACTGCTTTATAAACCATGGAAGTTATTGCCAAAATTGAGCCTTTGACTGGCAAATGGAGGGTCACTATACAAAAGTTGAAACTATATTTCCACATAGTATCTTTTTTCTTCTGACTAGAAGACTTCTTTTAACATTCCTTCCAGTGTGGATCTGCTGGTGATGAATTCTTTCAGCTTTTGTATGTCTGAAGACACCTTGTTCTGCCTCATTTAAAAAGATTCAGTGGTCACCTGTTGTCTGTCATCTGTAGGGGTTATGTTTCAAGATCCTCCAGTAGATGCTGAAACTTTGGATAGTACTAACTCATATATATACTGTTTTTTGATCTGATAACAGGCGGTTACTGAGTGACTAAGGGTGGGTAGTGTGTACAGTGTGGATACTCTGGACAAAGAGATGATCATATCCCTGGAGGAGTGGAACAAGGATGGCTTGAGATTTCATCGTGCTACTGAGAGTGGCACACAATTTAAAACTTATGAATTGTTTATTTCTAGAATTTTCCATTTAATACTTCAGACCATGGTTGACCACAGGTAACTGAAAATGCAGAAAGCAAAATCATGGATAAGGAGAAATTTTGTGTTTTGTGGGAAAAGAATTCTAGTTCTAAGTTAATTCACAGTTTTAAAACTTTCGGTAAAGATATTGCTTTCCTGTCTTCTTGGTTGTACTGTTTCTAGGAGAAATCTTACATCATCCTCATCTTTGTTTTTTTGGGATGTGCTTTTTCCTTGGATGCTTTTAATATTTTCTCTTTGTCACTGGTTTTGAGCATTTTGATTATCATAAACCTTGGTGTATCTTTCTTCATGTTTCATGTACTTGTGGCTTGTTGAGCCTCTTGGATTTGTGGGCCTATAGTTTTCATTAAATTTGGAAAATTTTTGGACCATATTTCTTTAAACTTTTTTTGTTGCTGTTTTTCATTCCCTTCCCAGAACTCTGATTACCTGTAATTAGGCCACTTGAAATTGTTTTACAGCTCACCACTGCTCTGGTCAGCTTTTTAAATTCTCTTTTCTTTTTGTGTTTCTATGGCTATGTCTTTAAATTCTCTATTTTTTTTCCCTGCAATGTCTAATCTTCCGTTAATCCCATCTAGTATTTTTTTAGAATCTCTTATGTTACAATTTTTATCTCTAAAAGTTTAGCTTAAGTCTCTTTAATTTATATCTTCCATGTCTCAACTTCACCTTTTGCACATAAAAAACAGTTATAACAATTGCTGTGATGTCATTGTTTACGGATTCTAACGTCTGCATCATTTCTGTGTCAGTTTCCATTAGGTGATTTGTCTCCTCATTGTGGGTCATACTTTCTTGCATCTCTGTGTGCCTGGTAGTCTTCGATGGATGCTAGGCAGTGTTACTTTTATCTTACTGGGTGTTGAGTATTTGTATTCCTATAAATATTCTTGAACTTTGTTCTGGGATGCAACCAAGTTACTTGGAAGTTTGATCTTTTTGAGCTTTGCTTTTAAGATTTGTTGGGGTTGGGTGCAGTGGTTTATGACCGTAATCCCAGCATTTTGGGAGGCCAAGACAGAAGTATCACTTGAAGCCAGGAGTTCGAGACCAGCTCGGGCAACATAGTGAGACCCCGTCTCTACAAAAAAAATTTAGAAAAGAAATTAGCTGCTTGTGGTGGCATGTACATGTAGTCCCAGCTACTTGGGAGGCTGAGGCAGAGGATTGCTTAAGCCTAGGAGTTCAAAGCTATAGTGAGCTGTGATTGTGCCACTGTACTCCAGTCTGGGTTATAGAGTGAGATTTTTGTTTCTATTAAAAAAAAAAATTTGCTGAGAAAGACCAAAGTAATATGGGGTAATTATTCCCTACTATTGAGGCAAGACCCTTCTGTGTGTTCTGCCTAGTGTCCTGTAGATCTTTAGGTTTTCCAGGAGGAGGAAGGCACTGTTCCTGGCCTTGTGAAAGTGCTGGACACTTTGCCCTCTTTTCCTTTTGGTTGGTCTTTCCCTGACCGTGGGTAGTTTCCTCCCACACATGCACAAAGGGGTACCCTCTGAAATCTCCTGGAGTTCTCTCTCTGTGCAGCTCTTTCTTTTCTGATACTCTGTGCTGCAAACTTTCTCTGCTTTGATCTGTCTGGACTCTTGGTCCTGCCATCTCAATTCAGAGAGTCCATTGGGCTCCTCCTGGGCTCTGCCTGAAGGCAGTGAGCTAGGGCAGTCGTGGGGCTTATCTTGTTTGTCTCTCAAAGATCACTATCCTTGGTTACCCCATGTCTTGTGTCTGGCATAGTATTAATTCATGTATTTTTTCTTGTGTTTTTGATTGTTGAAGGTGGCAGGGTAAATTTGGTCCCTATTCTGGAAGTCCCTGTCTTTATTTTCTGGGCCGCCCTGTCTTTATTTTCTGACTCCACAAACCCTCAGGCCTTCTAAACTATGGTCTTTGGTGTATGAGCTTTCCTGCCACCTTAGCTTTGCTCATAGTATTCTCGATTCCTGGAGTGCCCCTCCTCTCCATGTCCATAGGTTCTATCTTCCTTTAGACCCAGGAAATAGGCTGATTTTTCCATGGAGCTTTTCTCAGTCCCTTGGTTGACATTAATTTGTTCTTACTTCTAATCTCTCACAGCAATCTGTGCCTCTATTTTATATATCTTTCTTTGCCCTGTATATTAATTTATCAGTTTGTGTATGCATTTATTCAAAAACAGTAGTAGGTTTCTGAGCACCTACCACTATGTGTCCAAAAGTGCTGGGAACAAATGAAGCAAAAATGGAGGACTGCCTCCTGCACTTATGGAGATTACAGCTTAGTGGGGTCAACAGGTAAATGATTATAGCGAAATGATGTCATGGTGTGTTCAGGACATAGGAAGAGGTAATCAATTCCATCAAGCACGGAGTGAGGGCATGTTTACGAAGGTATCACAGAAGGAATTATGTTCATCTTGAGTCTGGAAAGATCACCAGTTACCCAACAACATAACATATTCCAGAATTCAAGTTCTTCAGTGTGGCAGTAATGTAGATTCCATTCCCCTCTTTATCCCCTTTCTTCCCCAATCTGTTTTCTTCCCTCTTTCATTTCAGTGGTTCATATCTGAGGGCAATTTGCCCCCTTTCCCCCACCTCAGGAATATTTGGCAATATCTAGAGATGACATTTTTGGTTGTCACCACTTGGGGGATGCTATTAGAATCTAGTGGGTAGAAGCCAGGAATGCTGCTAAACATCCTATGATGCATGGGACACACACACACACACACACACACACACACCACTCCCCTACATACAAAGAGTTCTCCGTACCAAATGTCAGTAGTGCCAAAGTTAAGAAACATGACTTTCATTCAGCAAATACTTATTAAGCACCCATTATGTCCTAACTATTGTTTAGATGCCAGGGAGATGTAGCTGGGAATAATTTCCAAAGCTTATATTTTAGAGGACAAGAAGAGAGACAGACAAACGATCAGAAAATATATAGCATAGAAATGGTGATGAGGGTCATTAAGTAAAGTGGAGCAGAGAAAGAAGGCAAAGAGTGTTGGGAGGGGGGATTCCTTTTTTGTTTGTTTGTTTGTTTGTTTTTTTGGAGACAGGCTCACTCTGTCACCCGGGCTGGAGTGCAGTGGCCTGATCCCAGCTCACTGCAACCTCCGCCTCCTGGGTTCAAGCGATTCTCCTACCTCAGCCTCCGGAGTAGCTGGGACTACAGGTATGCGCCACCACGCCCAGCTAATTTTGTATATTTACTAGAGACAGGGTTTCACGTTAGCCATGTTAGCCAGGATGATCTCGAACTCCCGACCTCAGGTGATCCGCCCACCTTGGTCTCCCAAAGTGCTGGGATTACAGGCGTGAGCCACCGCGCCCGGCCCGGGGTTACCATTTTTTAAATTGGATGGCCAGGGAAGATGCCACCGAAAAGATGACATGAAATAGGTAAAAGAGGAAGCCATGTGTGTGTCTTGGGGAAAAACATTACAGTAAAGGGAACAGTGTGTATAGAGGCACTGAGGCAGAAGCATGACAGGGGTGCTCTGGAAATAGCAAGGCAGTCTGTATGCTCGGAGCGGAGAGATCACAATGCTGAATCCAGCGCTGGAAGAGATTTCCCTCCTGTCTACTCTGTCCCATTCTCTCTGTCTTAGAGCGTATCTGGCTTGACTCTAGAATGCCCCACACATTCCGCCACATAGTTTAAATGTGCATGAGAGGAGACAGGGCCAGAATCTTTGTGGTTTCATGTTTCTAACACCCAAGAGTTAGACCCCCTTTTGTGATGAGACAGTGTGGGTATTGCATTCACAGTATCAGTCTATGAACCAACAAGAGGTTCTCCTAATGTCCTTGATGCACTGCTGAGGAATGGGGGAAAGAAGGGAATGAGATACGTTCGTTTTCCTCTTTCTGTCTTCCAGTTAAAAAGGCAAGAGCTTGGCCGGGCGTGGTGGCTTACACCTGTAAGCCCAGCACTTTAGGAGGCCGAGGCGGGCAGATCACGAGGTCAGGAGATTGAGACCATCCTAGCTAACATGGTGAAACCCCGTATCTACTAAAAATACAAAAAATTAGCCAGGCGTGGTGGTGGGTGCCTGTAGTCGCAGCCACTTGGGAGGCTGAGGCAGGAGAATGGCGTAAACCTGCGAGGCGGAGCTTGCAGTGAGCCGAGATCACGCCACTGCACTCCAGCCTGGGCGACGGAGCGAGACTCTGTCTCAAAAAAAAAAAAAAAGAAAAGAAAAAGAAAAAGAAAGAAAGAAAGAAAAAAATAAATAAGGCAAAAGCTTGGTGTTAGCAGTTTGATAAAACAATATTGTAGCATGTGCAAGGCTGAGCACCGTGCTGGGTTCATACTGTCTAATAACTTACTATTTTGATTGACTGAGTATTATTCAAGGTCTTTACCCTAGGGGAAAACATGTGATTTTTACATGATTTCTAGCTGCTTTACATACATTCTCTCCTTTAATCTTCACAACAGCCCTGTGGGGGTGTATACTATTGTTATCTCCATTTTACAGATGAAGAATTTATGTAATTTGATCATCTCACACCTACTGAGTGGGAGGAAAGCTGGATTTGAACCCTGGTCTGTCAAAATCCAAAGGCCGTGTTATTAACCACTGCATTATTTTTTAAATCATGAACTTTAATGTTTACTTTGTAAAATCAAAGCATGCTGAAACTTCACAAAATACTTTGGCAAGGGCCAACCTAAATTCCAAAGTAATGATCTTGCTCTCCTAAGCTAAGCTTTAGATGTTTGAAATGACAAACAAACAAAAAATCAATGGCACTGGGAATTATGTTACTCTCCATAGAATCCTTGTAAGCCAAAGTGGGTGAAGATGAGGTATGGAGCGTGGTATTTGAACCCCAAGTTGTGGAAAAAGCAAAGAGCAGACGAGCCTCTGGTTGACCCTGAGGTCTCACATAAAGCTCAAGAGGAGAATTTTAAAAAGGAGCTGCAGGAACAGGTATGTATTTATACTGAGATTCGATCATCTGAGCTTAAGATGACCACAGTGTGTCTGCCACCCTCGTACTGAACTAGACTCTGTGGCGTAATATAAAGGCTCCTGAAAGCCCTCCACCTTGCATATTGAATTCAGCAAGGAGAAAGCCAAGTCATGTTATGGAGAATATGTAATAAGCAAGACGTGGAATCTCCTAGCTTTGTGGTAGACATGACATCTCTACTCATGGTATTTCAACATTGTTGGAACAATTTATTCCAAGGATAATTGTTCAAAGGGCAGTGTGACTTGGTAGGACCACCTCAGTGCCCAGAATAGATGTGATGTCATGAGTTCTCTTTGGGTAACAAAATGTGAAGCTTGTTTCCTATCAGCTATAGGTGAATGTCAAAACATTCAAAATTTCAGCCAGGAAATTTCTTTTAGGCAATTCATTCGAGTTGCAGGATCTGTCTGAGAGGAAAGGGACAAAGGTTAAGCACTGTTTGCTATTGCAAAGTCACAAACACTCACAACAAGGATGTGTTCTAATTTTACTACAGATAAGCTCTGTGCCTGCTCATTTCTTGTGTAAAAGTAGCTAATGGAAAGAAGATACTCATTATAGCCCTGGAAATTCAGAAATATTGATGAAACACTTGCATAGTACTCTAAATGAGGATATTTGCAAACCTCTTCTCTTTTTCAACAGACCCCAAACTTCTCCCAGATAACAGATGTGAAAACACTTTGAGAAAGCAAAATACAATACGAATTAGACTTACTATTCATCAGTAATCACTCATCAATTGTCTTCTTCAGATTGGAAAGCTAAGACAGGAAGGATGGTCATTTTAATCTTTTCCAGTACTGAATATAAATTCTTATTTTCAGGTGTGAGGTATGACACAAATTTGTGAGCACTACATGTTTATATAAGTCTCAAAATTATATAAATAATGTTTGGCAGCATTTCTTAGTATGGTTTTTGGAGAGCCTAAGTTTATGAGAATTTAATATATAACATAAAGCTATTCCAGTTACACTTTTATTATAAAAGGTAATATCACTTTCTCAAATATTTAAAAAGAAAAATAGCTACAAACTTTTGCTTTAAGGTGTCTAGAGTTCTCTTTTTAAAAACATATTAATGACTAAGTCTTAAAGACTTCAAAAGTTTTACAAAACATATTTCATTTTGATGACAAATGCTATAAAGATGTTTTCCAAAATGGTTACAGTGAGAGAATAAAATAGTATTATTTAAATTTTGGAAATATAATTGATACAACTCATATAGTAAAAGATTGTTTATCAGGCAGTTTAGACACAGGAAGGACTCATAACAATGGAATTGTTCTATAATAATTTTTATAAATCACACCTTTTTAATGCCTGAGGAATGATTTACCTTATCAACTATAGGTGGTACCACTAGACTGTGGCACCCCAGTTTACAAGACACAGGCACTATGGGGTACTGGTAAGTACTATGACAACATGACTGTCTTTCTGGGGACTCATGAGTTTTGACTATTCTTGATAGATTTGGTTTGGAAGGTGAAATGGTCTTAAAGTACTGAATTGCAATTATGTAAACTTATGCATCCAATTTTTAAATTAAAATAAATGTAAAGAAAAACTAAAAAGATGCATAAATATCACAGATGTTGGGACTGATCAAATCATTTTTGATTGTCATGTCCTTTGAAGTTAAGATCTATGATTTGTGGACATACTGTTAATCTTAACTAGGTTAGATTCCAGACCTCACAGGTCAATAATTGTCTAATTGCTAAATGTGTTGCTTAATACGGGGATAAGGAAAAGGGTAGGGGAAGGAGAGAAAGCTGGACATCTTTAAAAGCCTTCATATTCATCAACTCAGGAACATTACACACATATTCAAAAACAAGAAGGATATGGATTAAAATGAGATACTTTATAAAGAGCTAAATGCTTTTAATGAGAACAAATATGAAATCAAGCTTCTGATGGCTGACCCCTTTCTTCTGTGGGTACTCTTTTAGGAGGAGTTACTTGCAGACCTTCACGGAACAGTTGCCTTTAAGGATTTCATTCTAAGCAGGGGCTACAGGATGCCACGTGTGAGTAAAGGGTTATTTCAGAAGGCCCTGCTGAGGGGCTTCGTGGCTCACAGTTGTTGATGGGAAGAGGTTATGACCCTGACAAACCCAAATAGTTCTTTCACAGGCACATACCAAGATAGGCCCCTGGAAGAAAGGGCGTGCTTTTCCCCAGACGGGGACTCAGAGATAGGATATGGCATTTTGCCCTTTTTATTCTGCCTATTTGGTTTCTGCTACTGTCAGAGATACTATTTCCCTGCTGATCTTTGACTCATCTTCCTTGGGTTTGGCCTCAATAGGAGGTCTATGTACAGGGCACGGACCTTGCAAATTCCAACTGTTACTCAACACCCTGAATTCTTTAGGATGTTTTCAAGTCTCCTTTACATCCTTGTCTAAGGACAAAGAGCTGTGGCTTGGGTTAGGACAAAATAGAGTTGGGATTTGCAATTTTATCATTGCACTATTAGCTCTGCCTCAAGTGGAAACGGGCTAAGGCAAAAGTTCACTTCCTGGGGAGCCTGGCCAGTGTCGTCTGTCTTTTTTTCCTTTCTTCTTTTCTGCCTCCTGGTTTCCCCTTACTAACTTGTAAAACTGGCCCCAGCATCTCCACACAATGTGGTCCCCCTTTGGACAATCACTTGTAACAGGGGTGGGGTGGGAGGTTGGCAGAAGGGAACATGGAGTGGGAGGGCCTGCCGCCTCGAGCAGTGTGCCCAGATCAGCTCTGTTACTGCAGCAGGAGACAAGATAGGCGTCTAGGGCTGAAGTCATAGCTGATAATGTCATGCATTTGTCCACTGTCCTCTGTGTGCACGTACCTTGGGGTCTTTAGGGAACGGTGCAACTGAGATAGTCAGAAGTTCCTGGAAATGGGAGATTTGATTTCTGTTTTTCCAAGAGTGATAGAACTAACAATAGCTGATACTGCTATTAAATAAATGTAGGACCAAGTTCAGAATCAAACCAGTTTCAAAGTTAAATCAGGCAAGTCTAGAGCATGAGATGGAGATTTGAGATTGAGAAACTCCATTATAGAACTGGTTTGGAGAAACTCCTTTAGTTTGAACATCAATACTAGGTCTGCTAGATATATTTAATATACTTATACAAATAACTGCCTAATCTGTATATGAGGCTTGCATAACTATATTTATATATAATGTATAAAATATAAAATATGCATATATAGCTGTAATGTTATGTAATTATGTGTTTACATGTCCATGTGAAGATGTACTTCTGTGGTATATGTGTGTGTATATATAAATCCTTATTTGCTATTGATATTACTCATTTTTGTATCTTAACATTTTTAGTGACAAACACATTTCTTTTTTTCATTTTGTTGTGTCTCCTGTTGATTGAGTTCATGCTGTTGATGAATATTTAGTTCAGTTTTGGGCAAAAGGAAGCATGCCTGACACACTGGCTTCCTCTTTTCAGTCACATTGACTAGAGAAATTATGCCCCTGGTCACAACAGAGTCCTCTGAGAACACCTGTCACTCAAAACCCTACAATATTTTGTCCCTTTATTCTTACATCCTATATTCTTATTTTATCAATAAGATTTCAACTGAAAGAGAGAAGGGACTCTATTACAGGGAATAAGATATATATGCATACACACACATAGAGTATATAAATATATATGTGTGTATACACAGTTATTTCTTACTTAAATCTATATGTGAACATTCTTTTCTTAACCTCCTGTGTATATATACATTCACATATGTTATGTGAACATATGCACTTACCTACACATTCCAGTATTTGCTGCTGGATTATCTACTTGATGCATCACCCACAGCCTCATTCCCTCTGCTGCACAGATGGGTCCCAAGCCTTAGTAGCAGGGATGGGCAGCACAAGGCTATATTGAGCTGGGCTGGGCCAGACTTGGGCACAAACAAGTGTGAATTCCATCTGAGTGTTTCTGATACTGTGTGACTACCTTCCAAAGACCAACATCTTTCATGGTCAGATTATTAACATGTGATTTTGCGTAGTGTAAGGATATATATTAGAGTGTGAAATTTTGAGTTGGGTATGGTAGTGATTGTGGGGAGGACTGTACTGTACAAGTTTTGTTTGTCAGTCTAATGAAGGTTCTCTCATTTTTTTTTAGTTCCTTGAGAATATGTATATTGGGAAGGAATGTAAACGTGCATGTAATAAGACTCCTATAAAATGAACTCAAGCATAGAAGAATCATAGGAGAATGATTAGGCAGATTTTATTACTATGTACTTGGCTTTTTCTCTGTCTCCTTTTAAAGATTAAACAGAATTTATGATGAGTGTCCCACTGTGGATGTTCAACTTTGACTTGGCAACATCTGTAAACGTAGTACCTGATGGTTATAAACATTTCTCAGTGGATTTCTGCTTCAGTTAATCAACATTTTGTATACTTTATCACCTGTGAGATCAATATTCACATGTAATCTTCTAACATTTTTGTAGCACTGTGAATATTATATAGGTATATCAACTATTTGTAAAAATAAATAAAGCCATAAATAAAAACAGAATTACTCTATTGCTTTTTTCCCAGGTTCTTCCCCTGGTATTGAGTGAGTACCTCCTTTCCTTTTCCTTTACAATATTATTTTCTTTCATTTTGAATTAAATTTACTGAGATATTTTTTCCTTTTGTCGACATTGCCATGGGTGGATATTGTCTGTTTGGCCCCACTAAATCTTATGTTGCAGCTTGATCGCCAGTGTTGGAGGTGGGGAGTGGTTTGAGGTGTTTCAGTCATGGGGTTGGATCCCTCATGAATGACTTGGTGCCATTCTCACAGGAGTGAGTGAATTCTCACTCTTAGTTCCTGTGAGAACGGTTATTGTAAAGAGCTTGGCTCCTCCTCCTCTCTCTTGCTTGTTCTCTCACCATGTGAGCGAACAAAGTGGCACATGCCAGCTCCCCTTTGCTTTTTGCCACAAGTGGAAGAATCCTGAAGCCCTCACCAGAAGTAGATGCTGGCGCCATGCTTCTTGTACACCCTGTAGAGCTGTGAACCAAATAAATTTCTTCTCTTAAAGATTACCCAGCCTCAGGTATTCCTTTGCAGCAACACAAATGGACTAAGACAGGCATGTTAGTGTTGATAATAAATGTGTATGTATAACATAAGGTCATAGGTCAGAAGGTTTAATGGAAACTCAAGATGACATGTATTTTAATTACTTTTAAAAAATTATATTTTATTTAAAAATGTTAATACTGTCCAGATGTGACCACTCACATCTATAATCCCAGTGCTCTGGGAGGTCGAGTCAGGAGGATGGCTTGAATCCAGTAGTTCAAGGCTGCAGTGAACTATAATCATGACAGTGCCTTTCAGCCTAGGTAACAGAGTGAGATCCTGTCTCTAAAAAAAAGTTAATGCTTATATTGGGAAAATCAGAAAACATAGACTAGCAAAAAGAACATAGAAAATGCTAATTCTTCCTATGCCTGTCTTTAGTCTCTTAATCCCATCATCTTCATAAGCTGAGGATGTATGTCACCTCAGGACCCTGTGATGACTGCATTAACTGTACAAATTGTTTGTAAAACGTGTGTTTGAACAATATGAAATCAGGGCACCCTGAAAAAGAACAGAATAACAGCGATTTTCAGGGAACAAGGAAAGATAACCATGAGATCTGACTGTCGGCGGGGTCGGGCAGAATAGAGCCATATTTTTCTCCCTGCAGGGAGCCTGTAAACGGACGTGTGAGTAGGAGAAATATCGCTGAATTCTTTTCCCAGCAAAGAATTTTAATAATTGATAACCCTGGGGAAGGAATACATTCCCAGGGGTAGGCCTATAGATGACCGCTCTGGGAGTGTCTGTCTTATGCGGTTGAGATAAGGGACGAAATATGCCCTGGTCTCCTGCAGTGCCCTCAGGCTTACTAGGATTGAGAAATTCCAGCCTGGTAAATTCTAGTCAGACCAGTTGTCTGCTCTCAAACCCTGTTTCCTGTTAAGATGTTTATCAAGACAATGCATGCACAGCGGGACATAGGCCCTCATCAGTAATTCTAATTTTGCCCTTGCCTTGTGATCCTGCTCTGCCCTTTTGCCTTGTGATCTTTTATTACCCTTTGAACCATGTGATCTCTGTGACCGACTCCCTATTCCTTTTGAAATCCCTAATAAAAACTTGCTGGTTTTACAGCTCAAGATCACCATCACGGTCCTGCCAATATGTGATGACATCCCCGGAGGCCCAGCTGTAAAATTTCTCTCTTTGTACTATTTCTCTTTATTTCTCAGACCAGCTGACACTTATGGAAAATAGAAAAGAACCTACATTGAAATATTGGGGGCTGGTTCCCCCAAAACATAGATACAACACTAGTGTCAGCACCTTAACCAGCAGCAGCATCCATGTCTACTGTGGGTTCTGCCTACTCATCTCAGGGTCTCTGATGAGGCACTTGACTGGTGGAGCAAAATCCATGCCTATGAGTGAGGTAGGCAGAGAAAAGTAATATATGGCATTTCCAGCTCCTACAGTGTAAGGGGACTCTGCCCCCATATGTTAGGGAGTTCAGGTGCCTCTTAGAATATGGAGTTCAGATGACTAGCCTCTTGAATGCCCAATATCAGTATCTACTTTTTTTTCATAAAGAAAGAAGCATAAGAAACGAATAAAACCACTTTTCTTCTAATTAGTACAACCATCTTTCTTGCAGAAGAGGACACAATCATGTTCTCAAAAGTGATGAGTTCAAAGTTTTATCCATTACTGCATCTGCCTTCAAATACAAAATCCCTGGGGGGTGGCCTTTCATCCTCTAGGTCTGTCATGACCTCATCTCAGTAATCTGTATGCTGAACTGACTACCTAGTAAATTTGACCACTGACAACACATCCTTAGTGGAGAAAGAGACAAGGGAAGAGGAAGAAACTTAAAAAAAACTGACATATACATGACATGGCAAGAAAGAAAATGCAGATAGATGCAACAGTATTCATTTCTACAAATGATCAAGAGGCCATAGTTGCTATATATAATTTCCCTTCTCCACTTCCCATTGCACATTCTTTTCACCTTTGGCCAGTCCCTTAACTGTTAGGAAATATTTACTTAAGAGAATGACCTAAACCTTTATTCACAAAGGGCCTGAGCCTTGGTGGTCCTAACCAGCCAGGACATTTTTATTAGAAGACATGACAACACTAGGTGGAACTCCAAGGGGTCCTTTGATTTCCATGACTCTATTGTCAGTCAGTTTTCACTTGTTATTGATGATTCATATAGCTCTCTCTTTTTCTTGTTCTTCAGGGATCATGAGGAGTCCATACAATGACCATGTGGCAGTCTCAGATTCTAATTCAATGGAACTATTATTTTTTTTCTACTGATAGACACCTTGTCTCAAATTTTTAAATCACCAGAACCCAGTTCATGGGGCTAAGAAGTAACAATTTTGCAAGTGGTTCTGAAGGAGGTGCCCCTCCTGATGCTACATCCATGTATGCTGAATGTGGGAAAAACAGCATGTATTGGTTGCTAGTACAGAATAAATAATGAATGTTGGTGTGGGCAGAAATTTGTTAGGCAGGGTCAGCAAATCCCAATCCAGAATAAGTTACTATTCCAGTAAAGATAAATTACTCCCCCTTTCATGATAATGGAAGAGGTCTGGGACATTCTTTGAACCCACTCTCTCAACAACCATTATGTCCCCCTTCTAGCTTGCCTTCCTACTGTAGAGGCTGGAAGACTAATGGCTGCATTTCCCAAACTCTCTTAATGTTTCAATTCATTAAAGTGCCCACATGTTTGGAAGTCCAAGGGAGCACCAAGGAGAGAGCTGATCCTCTGCTAGCCGGTCTGGCTTTCAGGTGCTGAGCACCAGAGGCTACTGGAAGTGGTGGTCTGGAAAGAATCCACTTCTTTCCCCAAGCACATTGTTCCTGGCTTTGTTCCATTCAAACCTAATTCATATCAGGGACTTTAGTTTTATTTCCCAGACAAATAAATACCATACAGAAGCAGTGGCCAGATCAGGTTTGACAAGGGAAATCCAAGTTGCTGAACCCCTGTGTAGCCTGTGTTTCTGCTACTATGCCTACTTCGCTCATTGGACAACACTGGAGTGCCTGCAGAAAGGAGAGGGTTGCAGGGGCCAGGTCAACCTCTTCTCTTGACTATTGAGCACTTCCTCTCCAGTGGAGGCCTTTGGGTGGCATTCACAAAGAACCAAATATCCTCATACTCTGGATTCATTCTCAGAGATCCCATAGATACCTCTTCCTCCAAACATCCTCGTCGCCAGACTTGCATTCTTGATCCTTCCATGTCTTGGCTGCTGAGCTATACCGTCAGCTAATGACCATTAACTGGTGATATCTGCACCTCATACCATTTCTCCTTTCAGACAAGGTGGTCAGCAAGATGAAATGCTTAAAATTCTGCCTTCTGGAAGATTCCCCTTTGTTGATCTTCAGGGCCACCCTCAAGTTGGGCTATAATGTTGCCATAGTCCACTTGTGGCTGGTGCTGTCATATTGTGCTGGTTGCTGTCTAGTCAGTTGGACTTAGAGAACATACCATGAAGTCAGAGGTGTAGGCTGAGGAAGAAATGGTAATGTGGTAGGAGTGGGAACACCATGCAATTTGTTGTGTCTTCAATTTCTGCTCAAGCCCAATCTTATACAGAAAACTTTCACTTGATCATAAGAAGCAATACAATCTGGTAATTTAATATGTGTACTTTGAAGCCAGAGAGCCTGTGTTCTAACCAAGTCCTGCCACTTATTAGATACATGGCTATGGTCAAATTGCTTTTATCCTCTCTCTGCTTCAATTTTCTCATCTAAAATAGGGATGATTACAGTAACAGTACTATTTCCCAGAAATGTGGCAAGGATTAAAGGAAATGTTACAAGTAAAGTACTTAGAGCAGAGCTTGGCACACTGTGCACACACACTAAATGTTAGCTGACTTTATGGTGTGGTGGATCAGGTAGCCCCCAGCTTATGATGAGCACTAGCCATGAGATTAGGCTGCTGTATTTACCAGTGCCCAGCAACAAGCCAAGATCTGTTTCTCAAAAGGAGAAAAGTTACATGCCACAGAATCCGTGGCTTGGCTGCAAAACTCTGAGAGCCTGTGCTGGATGTTCCAAAGCTCTGTTCCAAAGCTGCATTCAGCAGCCCTATCTGCCACAGGCATTTCAATAACATCGGATCCACTAGA